AGTGGGAGAACTTGCACAATTGGTGGCTGACTAAATACTTTTTTGCCCCACTGTAGATTGGAAAAGCAGTGAGCATTCTGAGCCAGGAATGCCCTGGTTCAAGGCTTGTTTCCCTCTACATGGCCTCCATCCAGTGCTATTGTAGGATTTCTAAAATACCCATGATAATGCTTTGGATACCTGAAATGTACCTCTTTTAAATGCCTGAAAATTCAAGAATGCATTTCCATTCATTTTCCCTTGCTTATGTAGAGATCAATCCTACTGTCCAAACATGGCAAGATGCTGCCAATTCTGTATACAGAACTGGCCATTCCTGTGAAAATGATGGGTAAGCATAAAGCTGGGGGTGAGTTGGCTCTAGAGAAACCATTTGTCTTTCAGTTTCATGATAAGATCCACAGGTGTTTGCTGTTTGTTCTGACATCTGGTGGCAGCTGATAATTCTAAGGGAACACAGTTTGAGGGATCTGACTTTTTGGTGGAACTTGGTTGCAGTACTGAGGACACAAGTCATACAGTGCTGTGCATTTATGTATCCAGGGAGGTTGCTCACCTTGGTTTTCTCAGTGGGATTCCATTGCACAGTTGCAGACTGATTTGGAGAAATATTGAAGCCACTTGCTTCATCTAGAGCTGCCTCCTCAGTAAGCTGATGGCAAACAACAGCATATAAAATGAATACTTTACTTATTATTTATTATTGTCATGTTGTAATTTTAATTAATTTTAGCTGTTTTGTAAACCGCCCAGAGTCATTCAACGAGATGGGCACTGACAAATTTGATATATAAATAAATATAAATACTTTTCTTCACACAAAATCTCTTCTCAGAGGCTGTTTTCTTCTACTCTTTTAATCTTCAGTTTAGCAAACAACCATCTAAATAAACACTGAAGTTCAAGTCCTCACTCAGCTACAAAGCTTGCAAAGCCATATTTCATCTTCTGAACATACTCAGAAGATAAAAATATACACAGCAAAACCAGGCTTGAGCATGAGATAAAAGTATTGGATTAACACTGCAAAAGTAACATCAGCCACAACAGACCTGCTTCAGAACTCTCTGAATGGCTTCCTCCTCTTCTTCATCACTATTGGGGAGTTTGTAATCATCCAAAGTAACTATTGAAGAAGGAAGAAGAAAACTGAAGATGTAATAAGGATTTCATAAAGGTAGCTTTTCATCATTTCATGTTGCTGCAAACATCTACAGATCATGCTGTACAACACATTGCCTTGCCTTCCACAAATTCTCCCATACAGTGGGTTTAATTGGACCCTTGATCTTTCTATTCCTACAAAGCAAAAGGGAGGATAAGTGACAGCCCAACTTCTATTAGTTCTGATTTGGAACATCCTGGAAGATCTCCAGGTAATCTCCATTCCATCCTCTGATACATGTGCAATATTCTTTGGCTTCAAGGCAGCCAGTAGGCCATCCTCCTCATCTTTGTTCTCCTTGGTCCTTCTCTCAAAACCATCTTTATCTCCTCGGTAGTTGATCTGTTCTCCTTCAGCCTCAAATGTTCTACCTTAATTTCTCTTTCTGGTAGGATGCAGGAGCCATATGTTTTGGCACCACCTTCTTAAAGCCAGTGTGATTTCTAAGCATCAGTGGTTTGTCTTTTTCCACTGCCAGAGCTAATCTAACTTACTAATGCTGGGAGGTCACCGTAGCTGTGCGCCATTCACAGCAGTTTCATCTGCAGGTACTAGCACAATTCAGTTTTAGCTCTATATTATATTTAAAAAAAACCTTTATACACTGATTTCTACATGTTGGGTTTCTACTAAAAGAAAAAGATCAGACCAGCCTCAGTTTTCTTTAGTTCCTTGGCTTCGTGAGGGACACAAGGTTAGTGTGCTGCTGATATGCCACTGGGCCGGTCATACGGGCAATACTATTGGTTAATATTGAAGTGAGGCTATTTTAAAGAAAGTACACTTGAGATGTAGAAATTGGATTAGCTGCAAGCTGGAGGGGGCTATCTACGAAACCTGTGGTGGATTAATCCAATGTCAGAACCCCACCCCCACCCCACCCCGGTTTGGAAGTCCTATAGATTTATCTGTTCTAACAGCAACAGTAGTGAACCAATCAGTTGTGCCACAATGATCACTATGCCCCAGGCTGATACTATATCAGAATCACTGCAGAAAT